AATCTTTACTGGAAATCCCTTCTGCCCTCAAGACCTTAATAAACAGCAAGTTTGCCACTGCCACCACAGCCTGCTATTTATTTTTAATTAAGTTCAACAAACTGCTGAGCAAAAACTAAACAAAATTAGCTGGCAAACAAGCGAAAGTCTCGGTTAACCACTAGAAGGGAGAGTCAGACTTTTCATCGCGAAGATGATGAAGATGTCGATTGCGGTGGGCTGGAGGTATTATATACCTTAGCCCAAACCAAATAACCAAATCCTCTTCAAATGAAATTTATAAATAGATTAAAAGGAAGATATCAAGAGAATTATTTTGCATTACAGAAAATTTCTAAATTTATTTTTTTATTATCATTCAATATATTCCATGTATATAATCGTAATGAAAAGTTTATATAAACATTATATTATAATGCTGTGAATAGTATTACAGAAAAAATTCAAAAAATTTTTTTTTAATCATTTCACTTTTTTTTGTATGAGTGTATAATGATATTTCTAAAATTTTTTGAACCCAAGGAAAGACTTTGCATTCTTTTGGAGAAACAATTAACTGCTACCCAGTGTAATTAATACTGATTTAAAATGTAAGCCCCTGAAAACAAATTAAAACTACTAATCCTCTCTGTCGAAGCAGAAAACCATTCGCACTTTTCGCTAAAAAACTCAATATCCGTTTGAATGATTGTCACTTTGGACAGCTAATGAAACTTACGGTTGGCTGAACCATAAATTAAATTTAATTATTTGCACATCTTTCATTAGCGCTAGCCGCAATTAATATATTTTATTAATATTAATTTTTTTTGTGTGTGTGTGCGAAAACCTTCAACTTAATTAGCTTGATTGCCGGGAGGTAGAGCGGCGGAAAAAAAAATGGAAAACACCAATGAAACTTTCCCACTGCCACATTTAATTAAATAAATAAACATGCTCAAGTTTTTTGCCATTTCCGTTAGCAGTTCCTTTTGCGGCCGAGTTGTCAAAGCAAAAAGTTTCTGTGGCAGATCTGTGTTTACCATTTAACTTAGCTTCCCTACCACGCTCAATTGCGACAGCCGAGCGAAATAATAATAATGACTGACAAATACAATTTCTGTCTAGACAAACGGGGGAAGTGAAATGATTATTATTTGCTGGCACTTAGCCGGCTTGGGTTTGAGCGAGCGTTGCCTGAATTATAGATAGAAATCTTATTTTCCCATTATGAGGTCACGTACGCCGGCCGCACAGGGCTAGGAAAATTCCGGGGAGCTAGCAACAAATAATGAAATTAAGTTAACGTGGCGCACACTTTTGGCCAAATTGTAACCAAAGAAAAAGAAAGGGCAGCGATGTCCGAGGGAAGTACACATTTATTGGCAGCACATGAAACTAATGTTGAGCGACACGCACTCTCCCCCATTTCTCGATATATCCCCTTTATTCAGTTAATGAAAGTTCCTCAGGATGCCAAACACTTGAGGCTGCTTTGAGTGGAGTTTATTAAAGATTCGGCTCGGTTTGTTCAGGCATCATAAATACCCATAAGTATTATTAAGTGCCTTTTCTAGCGATTAGTTGGGGTTAAAGTGTTCTCGAAGACCCTTTGAAAGGGCCACAGTTAGGAGGTGCCAACAGATTGTCGGCTTTTGTGAGGGCATGAGCAGTAAAAAGGTGAATGCCATTTCACTTGAGATTTTGGGGAATTAGGTTCGTATCGATGGGGAAATGAGTCTGTTGATATGTTGAATAATTTACTTTGATAGCATTTCGATTCTGCAACTTAAATTCTTGCATTCTAAACTATTATAATAGGGTTTTATACCTTTATATTTGTTTATATAACATTTATTTCCAGTTCTCGCAGATCCCAATAATTTTTCACCCCTTTTCTCTTTCGTCTAACACTCTTACCTTTCTCAATTGTCTAGCCACCCGCAGTGCCATCAATCACAAAACCCTAAAATGCATGTTTTATTTTAATTGAATTAACCAGCGTTTAAGAGGGACGGATTGTATTTGGGGTAATTGGCAACGTAACGTCTTTGACATTATTATGCTTGCAGGGCGCAGTGAATTCTAATTATATTATTGCAGCTGTGACTGCGAGGAGTAATTTAATTGATTTTCTAATTAAAGAAAATAATGTGCATTATCCATGTCCCTTTGATCAACGACTTATCTCGACCTGATTAATTTGTCATTGCGGTTTCGGGCCTAACACAATTTTAGTTAATTATAGGAAATAATAGAAGGCTGTTGTAAAACGAATGGATTTGTTGACAGACACATTTCGAAGGATTAAGTATGAAAACCGTATGGTAAGTGCCTTTTGGGCTTTTCGCCGTGCTGAGACAAACATAAATATTGTCACACAATTCCTTCAAGTCAAATCGATATCGAAACTTTTGACTTTATGTGCCCTACGATTAACCATCTAGCAAGAAACAGACTCAATGGGATCCGATCGATTGTTGCCAAGTTTCTTGCTGCTACCATCTTTCCCTATACATTATGTCATATTTTTTGTTTTCCTCTCCCTATTTTTTTTTCTTTTTGCAAAATATGCAAATGAAAGTGCGCTTGCAATGCAGCAAAAACTGAACTGAGCTGAGCTGACAACTGGGAGCTGTTGGCTTTGGTGGCCAGAAGGGGTTAAAGGGGCGTTGGGCGGCCCAAGGGGGAGTGGCAGACGTGCTCCCGTTTTCCGACTGCAATGACAACGACCAGGACAACGAGGATGCACTAGTCGTCAAAGGAAAAGGGGACAGGAGCAGTGCAACGAAGACTTCAACACTCTTGAAGGAAAAACAGGGAAAAGGAAATTATAAAAGTCAGTTAAGATATAGAGCAATACCAAAATGTTTATATACCATACAAGCAAAATACTGTCTTTAAAAAAATGAGGGGTAGATACGAACGATACAAATTATGATTATAGATAGGAATCTTACAAATCCCAGGTCGTTACAGATACCTCTAATGTATCAATCGTGGAAAATGAAAAGTAGATTATATTTTTAAGATGGGAATGTAATCAAATCTCTTTTAGGCACAAAATACTTTTTCAGCTATATGATTGAAATTATTACAAAACAAAAGACAAATAAATGTTAATGGTAAAGGTAATATATACCTATTTTTGATGGTCCTAGGCAAATGACTCTACAAGATATTCGTTTTTTGCCAAAACCATTATACCCCTTCTAAGGGTATCAGATCAGGGCTCAGACTGCAACTGAAATAAAGACGGGGACAGGTCTCTAAACTGGTCAGAGGACCAAAGAGACAGACGGTCGACGGAGGAGACTGGGGGAGGTGACCAACTTCCGCCTCTGATTGCAGATTAAGCACGTCCTAGGCGTCTGTCTCGGTTGAGAAAAGGGGTCCAGTGGATCGGCGGAGGAAGCTGGCGGGGATTGATGCGTATTGATGCTGCTGGCGTCTGCGAAACATGGAAAAAACATCTTTATTTGCTCAAGGCTCCGCATCCGGTCCCACAACCCCATGAAAACCCATGAGTAAGCTCTCCAACCAAGCCGCATCATAATTTCCTTGTCTCCTCTGTGCTGTCTGGGAAAAATTTGCATTGTAAGTGAAGCCTTGGCAGGACCGTAAATTCTTTGCTCGGCAGCCTTTCGAGCCAAAAAACAAAAAAAAAACACCCCCTTTTGTGGACCGATTTTCCAATGAGTTTTCAATGGACTCTAATAAAATTAATTGCATTTTGCACTTGCCTGTCGAGTTTTATTGATAGAAGGAGATGAACATGCCCGGAGAATTCAAGCTGAGCCGAGTTGAGCTCATGTGACGGTCAGATTTGGATTCTAAATTGCAATTGTTCTGCCGAGAATTTTCCGGACTTATTTTACCGGATGATCAAGGGAGAACAAAAATGTGAAGATTGATGCACAATGTTTGCATTGTGTAACTAATCCGTTTCAGTGAGCTGGTACCATTGTCATTTGATTTCTAAATGGGATTCAGGCTAAAAATGATATTTCTTGCACTTCTATTTATTGTTTTCAAACCCAAATGTCAGACAACGTTGAATATTCGTTATAAAGGGCACAACAAAATATGAATTTGATTACAAAAGATTGACGTTATGGAAATTTTCCATGTCAAAACTTTTATAAAGTAATTGAATTTCATATCCTTGGAGTATGAAATATAATATGTATACATTCGTAGAAACATTGGGGATTAAATATTTGGGTCAATTGTACAAGTATAAGCTTTCTAGTCAGCATTGCTTTATTTTCTAGGAATTCATTAACCAACAAAATCAATGGGTTTCTCTAGTTCTCTCTTGAAATTCGACTACTAACGAACCCTTGAAAAGTTCATTAGTTTCTTATGAAGACAACCCCCCCGGCACATTATTTAGATGACTAAGGACACTGCTCACCCCATCAAAAGACCATAATGATATGCAAAGCTAAACTTTGCTCACTAAACTTCTGCACTTGACACCCACACCCATCAACTCTTCCCTACCCCAACAATGAATTAGATTTCGAGCACAACTAAACCCCAAAAAAGAAGCTCACTTTGGCCAGGGAAATGGAAGGCGGACAACTTTTGTCTGCGGTTGACATTTGTTGCCCTCGGGCGGCAAATGAAATCATTTAAAAATCAACAATAATTAAGTAGCAAACTTTTGTCTGTGACGGCAGCCCTGCAGTTCGTTTTAAGGTGAACCGAAAGAAGTGCCGAGTGATCCCCTTTCGACCATAACTATGACGTTTACACGACATCAAATGGAAAACTTTCCGGCTCCGCCTGCCACCACCTTGGCTTTCTGGCATTGGCTTTTCTTAATTAAGCTCGGGTTAAATGCCAAAACTTTCCAATTTCTGGCCTAATAATGGGCTGCTGGGAATTCGGTTATTCAACTACTGGTTTGTACTTGGTTTCGGGTGAAAAGAGTTAATTTTGTAGAGATTCTAGAGAAAGAAAACCTATCTTTAAGTGCCTATTTTAAAGAGTTAAAGTCAATTATTTGGTCTTGATATGTATTTTATTTTATTATTTTTATAATATTTATAAAAACATGATCACTCAAAAGTTATGCCAGGTAAAAATCTATTGTAGGGACACAGCTTTGTACCCGTGGGACAAGATCCAGTCAAAACATTTTTTATAGCTGTGAATTTTTAGTTAATATATTTTTGTTTTAGTATTTTATTATTTAAGTTACTTACGTGGCTTTTTTTCATTTATAGTAATCTGTTTATGGAACTCCAGTATGCATTTGTTATACAACGTGTAACTGCAATCTTCGTGCATAACACAAATTGGCCTGTCATCGCTGAGGCAATTTTGAAGTGTCCATGCCAATCTGCAATTCACAGCTGCAAAAGAATACAAATTAATGGAAATTTCATAAATAAATACTTTTAAACAAACCAATAAGAATAAAAACGATGCAAAGCTTCATCATCAACGTTTTTAGAGGAACTAGTCTTAGTTAGGAATATCGCGATTTTAACATAAATAATTAAATTGGTAACGGATTAATTTCATTAAAGCAAGGGTATTCCACTTAGTTGTAAAAAATTAAAATTCTTTAAGTCCCTAGTTGCTCTCAAAAACATTTACTATAGTATGCAAATGGGTATATGCCAAATTAAAAATTTCTTAAAGTAAATCGAAATTTTAAAAAAATCAAGCTTAATCATCATTTTGTTTCAAATGACAAGTATTAGCCAGGAACAACGCTATTTTAACATTAATAATTAAATTGACAACGGAATAATTCAATTAGGGCAAGGGATTTTTACTTAGTTAAAGTTCTGCAAATGGGTTTACTTAAAAAATAAAACTATTTAGTTCCCTAGTTGCTCTTAAAAGAATTTACAGATGGGGATATGCCAAATTAAAAATTTCTTAAAGTGAAGCTCGAACTCCTTAGGAGTTCCCCGTGCCCCAGGGATGTTTTCCTAGTGCTTCCTTAAAAATTCTCTTACTTGTGGAAGGGAAATGGTACACCAAGGAGTTTTTCCACCGGCAGAGGTCCTTTGTGCGGTGGAAACCTTTTGGCAACGCACTTTGTTTGTCTTCCGCCAAACGAGGCGGCCGTATACAAACTACTGGAGAGTGCAAAATGCTAAATTATACTTAAGCCGCACACACAGGCGAACTACGTGGATACCACAAAGTGTCCACCAAAGCGGAGCCACGCACCGGCCGGAAAAAAGTAACTCAAAGGACGCCGCCGCCTCAAAGCGGAAATGCACTCAAAGGAGCCACGCCCATGGTGGGCGTGGCCACTTCCTGCTTGCCCACCATTTGCCGCAACTCCACTTCTACATCCACAACATCGTCATCAACATCGTCATCGGCTTCAATGGCGGCGGCTCTCCTTTTTTTCAACCTTTGTGCATTGTGCTTTCTTTTTGTTTGTTTGTTTGTCGCTGCGTTGGCGGTTGAACGACCACAAAAAACAGGAAATCAAAAATCCTGCCGGGACTCCATGCTTTCAATACCCTGTAAAATCATGAACATTTTCGAGGACTTTCAAAAAATTGTATGCCAATCAAAAGTTAAAACTTGAAAATGAGAGTAGAACAACCATATTGCTATAAAAAATAACTAGTAATTCGAAACAGAGTTTAAAATCATCTTGCCATTTCTCAATTGGTATTTTATCAAATAATAATATTTAAAACCTTCTATCCGAATCTACAGTTTTATAGGTTAACAAAAATCGGTATTTCTTTATAAATTCTATTTTCTCATTATAACCAAGTTAAGATATAAAATATAAGAAATCACTGACCCCTTAATTTTATCATTACCTGTAAATGCCAAAAGACAAACCCACGTGACAAATCTCTTAAGAGCTCTTTTTCTTTGATAATGAAATTCCTTACCTTCTTTCTCCCATTTTCTTATTTTTAGGCACGCGAGGTTTTTTTGATCCACTACAATGGTATTTTTAAACATTATTGCTTTGTTATTTGTGAACTTGACCATAAATAAACTTGCCTGTTGCCGGGCTTATTGAGTGTGGTATTTGCTTTGAGTTCTATTTCTGTCTTGACGGCGGGGATATTTTCGTATTTGGGCGTTTGATTTGATTGGATTCAAACAAATCGTTGACACTTGAATATATAATGGCATAGGCAGTTCGTAGAATTACATTAGTGGTTAGGATGATTTAATAGAGGGCTTCGTTTAATTTTCCTTTCTGGTTTTTGTGACGCAAGAAATGCTAATTGAGAATTACCAAAGCGAAAAGGTGAAGGTTAAATAAATTCTGTTATTCGATTAGAGTTGTGGTTTTATTTGATAGGAATTTGTGTTTTGTGGGAAGTTAATCATAAAGAAAGCTAATGTCTGTGTTGTGGCTATGGCTAAAATTCGGGGTTGGTTATAAAAGGTCATAAAAGTCGATTCTAACATAAAAGAAAAAATATTTTGGTAATTTGAAGTCAAGGGTAACTTTGTTTGTAAATAAGAAAAACTTCCCCAAACCTCAAGAAAATATGCTACAAAGTAAACTTATGTTCTAAAATAAAAAACGCCATAATTACACTTCTCTAAAATTAAAATGCCATATTTTTTTGGGTATATTTGGTTGCTTAAATATACAATTTATTTTTTAATTTGGGTTTTAACTTTATTATTACTTCAACAACTTGAATAGTTACCCTTTCCACGTTTATTATTTAAAGTATTTATTCTGTGGATTTTAAATCTGCGAACACCTAATCCCGTTTAGGGTTTTACTACAAAAAACCAGCTGGGTTAAGCTGCACATTTCACTTTTCCCACACGGATTGTCCTACTTTTCAACTGCTCATTTCAGCCCTACAATATTAATTTCATATCTCGATTTGCGTGACCCAAATTGCCCTCCCAGTTGTGAACGGGCCTACTACACACAGTTTTCCGTCTTTGTCTTGGGCTGTTAAATAAGTTGGCAACTTTTCATTTCACTGCAGCATTGTCTCGAGTACTGAGCTATATTGCCGGGCCCCAAGAGCATTTCCACTGCCAACACCCTGGCAGCATCTTTGCCTGGGAAAGGATTTTCCAACCAGGACACGTTGCTCAAGTTAGTCGCACTGACTTTCCCCTCCCCAGCCAACTAACCATTGTGTTGGCAAAACAAAAGCGCATTGTTCTAGTCTGCAGAAGAGGGGTTTCTTCGATTTCCTTGACTTTTATGCACTTGCTGCAAGTTATTTATGTCCTGCCACTGGCATTGAAACCGCGAAGCCAGCCCCCAGCTAAGGACCTATTAAAGTGGCACACTCCTTAGCTGAATTTCCAACGAACAACTATTTTAATTTCCCTCCATTTTTGACTTGCAGAATCCGCGGAATGCCTGACAATGACCGAAATCAAAATCCCCAAGCACATAATGCGCCACGAGGACGCCGTGCTCGGCTGCAAGTTCGATCTCGACGGGGAGTCACTGTACTCGGTGAAGTGGTACAAGGATGGCTTCGAGTTCTATCGCTATGTGCCCAGGGACATGCCCCCGGGTCAGGTGTTTCCCCTGCCCGGAGTAGATGTGGAGGTAAGAATTAATTAAGAGATGTTTAAATAGGTATTCTACACTCAATGGTAGCTAGTAGTATTATATTAGGTCTCGATATTATTTAATTAACCAATAATAAAAACACAAATCCAATTAATCCCTTATAATATAATAATAATAATGATGATAATATAATAAAATCAGTTTAAATTAGTTAATGATCAACTTTCCATTCGTAAAGAACTAAAAAATATACAAATTTCACATATCATCTATCACAAAAAATGTTGAATGACGTTCTACCTATTTAAAACACTTTGAAATCGTAGTCAAAGTTGGAATTTTTGAAATTATAAATTTTGGAAGAGAAAATTATTAAGTTATCCTTTGATTTTGACATGGTTAATGATGAGCATTAGGAAATCGAAATTGCTGCAATCGCTGGAGGAGTCAGTGGTGCCCATCGATCAAGAGGACGTCGTTCGTTCGATTGCCGATCAGATCCGTCAGCCTCTTATCGATCCCATCGAACGGAATCTGGGCTACAAGGAGGATCTGAGCATCCTGCACCTAGAGGATGCCATCAAGTTCAGGGATACGATGCAGAGTTTCAACATTTTACCTACAGCCGAGTCTCTGGATGAAGTGATGCCCGTAAAAGATGAGGATCTTGGTGAGATGTTGGAGGCCCTGACCGAGGTGATTCTCAATGAGGCCAATGAAGGCGTGGAGGGAGAGGAGGATGATGAAGATGTGGAAGAAGATGAGGATGAAGATGAGGATGAGGATGAAGATGAGGACAATGACTTTGACAATGAAGAAGAAGGAAATAACAATGCAGGCGAAATCTCAGATCAAAATAATAACTTTTTTTAAGAAAACAAAATTATTAGTTTGATTACGATTTGCGATAAATAAATGTAAGGTTGACCAGTTTGTAAAGGGGCTATATATTTTTATTAACATATTTATAAAACGCATCTAAAAATATATTTTTGCGTTATTTTGTATATAGTTTTCTGTAAAAAGCAAGCCATGTTCCCATTTTTCGGGAGCTTTCACTTTTATTTCAGCGTTTCTTGACCCTATTTCCCTTGCGTTTTTCTTGCAGTTGCAGAACTCGACGGACGTGGTTGTTGTCCTGCGCTCAGTTAGCCTTCAGTCAACTGGCCGATATCGCTGCGAAGTGTCCGGCGAGGCGCCTTCGTTTCAGACGGTTTCCGGTCACGAGGACATGATTGTTGTGGGTAAGTGAAAGTGGCCAGCAAAAAGCATGCACACTGAAAGGGTGGGAAAGAGAAAACACCATTTGGGGGAAAGAGATAGCTGCAGTTTTGGCAAACAAAAGAATGAGACAGCAAGAACGAAAACTTGGCGGAAGAAAAGCGGCAAGATTAATTGCAGCAAGCGAACTAAGCGACGAAAAGTAATCTGTTACTCTGGAACTATCCCTGTCCCTCTCTCATATGACCTCTCCCTCTCTCTTTCACTCCCGCATCACGCTGTCTCTTTTTGGCCCACTACGAAAATGTATAAAATATTTCACATTTATTTAGTTTATGCCCGGCATTGTTTCTCGCTGCGATTTACAAATTCTCGAGGAGAAAACCTGTGCCAAAAACGCCAGCGGGCGCAGGAAGACAGAGATAGGGATAGTGCGGAAGAGAGAGAGGAAAGATTTCGGCCATCCTTTTTTCCTGGCCAACACAGACTTTCAATGAGTGTGTGTGTGTGTACGTTCTTTGTATTGTATTCCACTGGCAAATTGCCCATGTACGTGATGCAATTCTGTTGCTCACTTACAGCTCCGGATTTTTCCACAGCCCCAGACTCGTTCGCCCTCTCTTTCGCACACCGTCTCCCCTCTCTTTCACCCGGTCTGCAACTTAATTTGAAATTTTTGCACAATCCAACAAAACTGGGCGCAAAAATATGACCCAACGCAATATGAAAAACGGCTGCGGAGGAAAACTTAGTATAAACGTGTTTAATAACAGTGGAAAGCGAGCAGAAAGCTTTACTCAGAAGAAGATATAAATTTTAAGTTTTATCCGACACTTTAGGATGGGCTTAAAGTGGATCTGTACGAGAAAAGCATAAATAAATAATGAAACGAAAGATTTATTCAAGCAATTTATATTTCATTTTTACTTAAGAATTTTTTATCCTTGGAATTAAACAGATACGCATTCTAACATAAATACATCTCTATGCATAGGGATTTAAATGATTCCTGATTATGAAATACAAATAAAGATAATAGGCTGACTCATCCAATCAAAATCTATCAGAGTCAACATCGGTGTCCTCAAAAAGGATTAAATGCGTTGCATATCGACGCATCTATGACCCGAATATCCAACTGGTAAGCCCCATAATTGTGATGATGTTTATCAACGTCAGTTGTTGGCACAATTGTTTGAGCCAGGTAAATTTCACCTTCATTTCCGTCCACTGAAATGTCGAGGGGGTTCCGGAGAGAGGCAATCAAAATTGGTATATCGCATAATTATGCTAACTAAATATTTCCTCGACTAGGGGTAAAGAGAAAGGGGGCAGAGTCCACCAATCAGAGCTTCCGCTTTCAGCTGGAAATTACTCAATTACGCTTAGACTTTAATGGAGAAAAATAGGAAGAGGAAAAATTCCGACGGGCTGACGTGGAAAAGCCGCTCTTCAGTTCAGATGTAAGCGGATTAAATCAAAGGCATAATGACGTCGACGATTTGCGGATCAATAAACCTAATGAATTTCTGAGCCGGAAAAAGTGGAAAAACTTGGTGCCATCAAAGGGCAAACGGAAAAGTAAGCCAGAAATGGCGATGGCAGAAAAAAAGCACAGAGATATATAGAGAAATTGTCAAGTGATATATTTAAGTTGCCTGCCAGAAATCTCATTTAAATTACGGAAATACTTAATTAAACGAACTCTGGTTCTTATTTCTGTATTGTGACCGAGATAATAGAATGAAATTACTGTTGGCAAAAGCCTTCCTGACGTGGCAAAATGACCCAGTTTGACCCAGTTCCTTAAATTAGACATCATCAACTGGGGAGTCAACATATGCGATAATTGCATTGTATGCGCGGAAATTGAAAATGTGGGATTTGCACGGGTGGAAATGCGCGGGAAATGGGCGGAAAATACCGTCGCCCCGGTGCAGCTGCATATGATGGCCGCATCCGGTCGGGCAAATTGGTTAAACGTAATCTCTGCGAGAAATGCTCCATAAAGTTTCACATTTGGAAATATGTTTGCTCACATAGTAAGCCAAATGAGAAGTATATTACTTGAAATATCAAATATTACTACTCTAAAGTATTTAGAGAAGAGATATTATAATGATAATAACTGGGTTTGTGTAAAAAGAAGCAACTTCAGCGAAAGAACTTAAAAACATAGGAATAAATTAGTAACTTTATGAATGTGCTTCTGATTTATTTACGTAATATGTTCATTGATTTTTCGTGTATTTACCAACAATTAAAGCCACCTTACCCAACCAAAAAAATCTTAGGGCTAGCTGAAGTTCTTCAATAAAAAAAAACCGATAGAATACTTTGGCAACTCGTTTCTTTTCAATCAATTGCGCCCCTTTGACCCTTTTGTGCGCTGTAGTAAGCTCCAAAAAGCCATTAAGGTGAAAAATTGTTAGTTTATTTAGGCATCCGATTTACTTAGATATTTGTTTCAGTTGCTCAATTGAATCCATTGTTCACCCGAGCCCGGGACAAAAAAGAACCCGAGGGCACGGCCCACGCAAAACAAACTGGATCCATGTTGATCCCCTGTCTGAAGGTCCTCGGAGGCAAACAAAGCCGGACAATGGCGGCTAAAGAATAAAAATGCCCAGCAATTATTACCAATTGATACTGTAGCTTTGAGCCCAAAAGGGGATGAATGTAAGCCCACAGCCCTCTCAACTCAAACGACAACGGAAAATATGTTGAACATTTGGCCAAATATTAAAGGGAGAAAATCGTAAAAGGAGTGCCGCAAAATATCAACAGCTTTATCAATGTCAGAACTGAGTAAAAATAGTCGCTGGAAATAATAATTTATGCAGTTCAGTTCGGTTAAGCCGAACAATAAGAAGGACCAAAATGGAGTAAAGGGAGGAAAAAAAAGAGGACAAAGGAAAGTGTCTTGGAGGAAAAAGGAATTTCTTCTGACCCTATTTGGAGCACTTCTATACAAAAAGTCAACCAAATGAGTCTACCTATTTTATTTAACTAATAGCTAACATTCATTAATGAGAGAATAAATGAACTAACCATTTTTAAGAATTACTATGATTGCCTAACAAATTCTAAATAATTAGATACTACCAATATTTTATTTGGGTTGATTGGTATAATACAAATTAAAATACTTTTAGAGGGCATCCAAAAAAATTATTTTTCAATAAAGCTAAAATATTTATGTACATTTATTCTTAATTAAATGAAAATAAAGCTTCCACAGAACCATCGAGACCGCTTTTCAGTGTACCCTTCATAAATTTTCTTCATCGTCTTTGCTTCGTATTTTCCAAAGTCCTGGTGCAATTATTACCATTATTAAGAAGCGGATGAAAAAGTGTGAAAGAAATATTCTTTTGTGCGATAAACGTTGAAGTTTCCTTTCATTTTCCTAAACTTTTCATCAGTGCGAAACTATCGATTATGTTTAATTGAAGTTTCGCTTTAGTTTTGTTCGATTTTCACAGTTTTTGACCCAATTGGCAACTAGCCAGGTCGGCCAGCAGACATGACTTTCCCCTGCAGACCCCTCTTTCCGCCCATTTGCTCTTCTATCGTCATTTGTCCAGCAGCTGGAATTCATGGCTATAACACATAGTGACCCACAAAAGGAAAATCGACAGCAACGAGGAACAAATCAAATGCTACAACGTACCAAAATTGCACACAATGGAGATGCATTTGACATTTTCGTATATTTATTATTTTCAATTCTAGTTGAGCTTAAATGAAATTAGCATGTCCTCTTTGTTGCGACTGGGAATCGGTTTAATTGGTCGACTGGTGGGTCAAAAAAATTATTTGGCATTGCTTCACAGCTGGGGGCGTAATTTTGGTCAAAACTAAAACCAAATTAACTATCAATCTTGTTTGGAAAACACAACTTAATTTGGGACGCATAGAAACGAAATGTTTCTGGGTTTTTGGTTTTCATACACAATTAAAATTAGCAATTTGTAGAATTTTATATCTTTATTTTCGCATACTTATTTTGTTTTTAATGTATAGATGATATTGATTTTGTGCTTTGCAAAGACAACATAATTATATGACTCTAATTTGGTACTGAGATAAAAAACTATGATGTTCATTATATTAAACAAACGTTGGTTTGAGGTCTAGTCTATTTCAAATAAGCATAGATTGATATATAAGCCCAACAAAACTTGGAATTTAAATATCAAATAGAACTGCTTTACGATAATAGTCCTTTTTTTTAATATATGATAATGCAGCAATGGAATAGTAAACTAATTTTGTTTCATTTTTGGTTTGTACAATGTACATGCAACTTTTAATGAGCAATGGTAGAAGTTTAACCATTTCTTTTTATCAAGGCTGCTAAGATATTTTTAAAGAAATAAATTGAAATAATAATGTTGTAAAAATCAAGTATAGTTCATTAAGATTTCAGGCGTTCCCAGAATAAAACCAGCGTGCTACATACGGATGCTAAACTAGCTGCTCCATTTAGTGGCGCCCACCTTATCCGACAATCCAGTGATAGCCTGCTAATCCGAAACCTCTGCTCTCCCCGTAATTGCAGTGACTCCAAAGCACGGACCACAAATCACGGGCGGACAGCCGCGGTATCAAATTGGCGACATGGTGCGCGTCAATTGCACCTCGGCGGCATCCAGGCCGGTCTGCCATCTCAGCTGGCTGATTAACGGGATGCACGCGAAC